TATTAGAAACATTTGCTGCCGTTAATTGAAAAGTGATCACTGTAAATGCACTGAGTCAATTCAGGACTTCTGTAGAGTCACAGAATGGCTTGGGTTGGAAGGGACCTTAAGATCACCCAGTTCCATCTCCCCTGCCATGAGCAGGGACACCTTCCACTAGCCCAGGTTGCTCAGAGCAATCCAACCTGGCCTTGGACACTTCCAGGAATGGGGCAACATACAACTTCTCTGGGCAACCTGTTCCAGGGCCTCGCCACCCTCACAGGGAAGAATTTGTTCCTAATATCCCATCTAAACCTACTCCCTGTCCGTTTGAAGCCATTCCCCCTTGTCCTGTCACTCCATGACCTCATAAAAGAGCCTTTCTTGTGGGCTCTCTTCAGGCACTGTAAGGCCACAATTAGGTCACCCCAAAGCCTTCTCTTCTCCAGGCTGAAGAATCCCAATTCTCTCTGCCTTTCCTCCCAGCAGAGCTGCTCCATCCCTCTGATCAACTTGGTGGCCTCCCTTGGACTTGCTCCAACAGCTCCATGTCCTTCCTGTGCTGGGACCCCAGAGCTGGAGGCAGCTCTGCAGGTGGGGTCTCACCTGAGGGGGCAGAGGGGCAGAATTTCCCCCTCCCCTGCTGCCCTCGCTGTGGGATCAGCCCAGGACACGGGGGCTTTCTGGGCTGGGTCATGTCCAGCCTCTCACCCACCAGCACCCCCAAGTCCTTCTCCACAGGGCTGCTCTCGACTTGTTCATCCCCCCAGCCTGGATTAATACAATATTTGATATTGATGCTGTATAGATACCAACATATTATAATTCATATTTACAACTTCTTTCAAAGAAGTGACACCTAAATAGAAAAGGAAGAGTCAATCCATAAGTTTCTACTATATTATAATCAATAGTGTTAAAGCATTAACTATGTCAGTTTTGAAGGTATTAACCAAAAGAATAATTTTTAAAAATTCAGAAAATAAAATTATGCTTTAAATAATCTCATACTTCGTAAATAAATAGTAGGGATGGCAAATGTTTTCATCAAAGAAGTATGTTAAGAAATCAAGAGCAATAGAGATCTTAAATCTGACACATTGCTATGCTGCTATAGTAACTCCCTGTTATCCATTCTGGGTTTTTTTTCCATTTTGGTGACACGATCTATTTGTTGAGGCACTATAATATCAGACTCACTGTCACTTTGAAAATAATCAGCCACACAGCATTATTTTTATAATTAATTCCTGACTTCAGTGAAAAATGTGATCTCATCTATGATACAATCCATAACAATTATAACCTTATTTTGAAATTAATGAATTTTCCAATTCCAGCCCCATTCAAACCAAGTTTGTGGATATATACCAACAGTCAGATCTGATTATATTGCCTAGCAGAGAACTGCCCAGTAAGCTTTCTGAGGACTATCAGTATTCTTCATGACTATTCCAAAGTTTGCAGTGTTTGTAACTCAGTAGTAAGCAACAAAGCCAACTGTATATATTTATGTATCATTATGTTACCACACTAAGAGCCACTTGCAACTTCTATAATTTTCTAAGTAGAAATTGTATACAAATAAGATTTATCAACTGCACCTAAATCCTACTGACAAAACTACCAGAACAGTTCAAACATAACTCCTAGCTTTCTTTCATAATTATTCACTGTTGCAACCTCTTTTAAAAACCATAGCTGCTGGTCTAAGGCTATTTGTGGTGTATGATCTGCTACTCGAGAGCAAAAAATACATTAGGTAATATTAAAATTAAAATTTCTCACCAAACAGCAAACAAAGGAAGTTTTAAGGAAGAACTGTTGGGAGGAGGCAGACCCAGTTCTAACAATAGAAATGTAAGCCTTTAATTGCAGCAGAGCACCTGTTGTACCTGACTCCTTGTGAACTGCTCCTGCAGGTGTTTACCTACATGGGAATGACCAGTCCCATTGCCTTCCCTCAACTACTCCCATTCAAAGATAATCATGATGACTCGGTAGAGCATCAGAACAATACCCAGCTGGCTGTTCAAAAGCTGTCTTCAACCTTTCTTAACTCCCAAACACAAGTTTAATTAAATCAAGCTTACTGCCATCTTGACCCCGTGGCACAGCATTTTCCTCTCTGGAAACCTGCACTCTGCAGGCTCAGAAAATGAGAACCGAAAGCTTCTTCAGACCTGTCACTAGTTCACTATGAAGTACTTTAAAGCAGCACCTGTAACAAGAAGTCCAGGAAGACAAAGCAACAGGGGTGTCCACAGGAGAAATGTCTCTGAAAGCAGCAGTAAATGATGCCAGAATATGCCCCAAATCTACAAATTGATGCTACTACCTGCATCTCCCACTCTGACAGCTCAACACAGCCCTGGGAAAAGAACAGGATGGAAAAGCTGCTCACTTCCCCAAGTGTGTAATAGCTCTGTTCAGTCTTCTAATGGACAAACCAGAAGTTCAGCTCTTCAGTTAAATTGACTGTAGCAGATTGGGTCTTTGCAATTACTACCAAAACTTGTAGTGAGCACAAGGTATTGTAAGGATTTTCTCCTGTTCCTTTGGTGTGAGACAATTGACCACAAATAGTCTTCTTGAATGCAAATTCAGCCCGAAATCTGAGAAGCAGGCTAATTCTCTCATTTCTCATATCATCACAAGTAATAAAATTATCCAAGTCAAATTTTGCCATCAGCTATACTGTGTGTTCCAAAAAGTAAAAAAAAAAACAAGCAGCCCCCTGTTTCCTAACAATCTGCACAACGGCAGTCAGATTTTAATTATGTACTTGCAGAGGGGATAAAAAATTGTGGATGATGCACAGATACAGTAGTCTGATATTTTCTTGAGTCACTACAGTAAACATTTTTGTTAGTAAAGAAAATAATGCAAAGTAGATACACCTAATGAAGACTTCTCTTTGTATGGGAGTTTTCACAACAGAACTTAACATTTCATCACACCACTATAAATACATGGTTAAGAGGTGAACACAGAGAAATCGCTTTTTCCACTGCTGGAATTCAGCAGCTATTTAACATTTCATGGAAAAACTCCGATTTGAGGAGGACCGTACCATCTCTATTTGAAATTGAAAGGACAATTCAAGTAAGTAGAATAATATAATTATGTAACTTGGGATTTTGCCAGACCATCAAGCTTAATACTTCATGAAGCTTCCTAGAACACTGAAATGGATCTTTAATAACCAGAAAAGCTCAGGACCTTTACTGTAAGGTCTCGCCGGGGGTCCGGTGCGGTGCTGGGCAGGGGCACTCGCAGGTAGGAGTTGTTCCTCCCGCACCGCAGCCCCGCACCGAGTTCCTCCAGCTGCTCCTCGCTCCCTCCTCGATTAACTCGCCCTAACTGACAATCACACTGACTTGAAGAGCCTGAAATATTTAACAGATAAGCTGAAGCAAGAGAATGACCTTTTCTAACAGGATATGCTGACCTTTGAGCGTTGTAGAAAGCATTTAACATTCAAACACATAGCACCAAACCACAAGGAAACCAGAGCTTCACCTCGCACAATCATGTTCGACACTGTAGTGAGCTGCCCTAATCCTTAAGCAGACGCGATCGCTAGTTGCAATTATGCACATGATTTACAGTTTGCAAAATCTGTTGGGTCTATCGAGTTGTTTCCAAACCGCTTCCACACGGTGCTTGCGCGCGTAGGGCACCTGCAGGTTCAGATCTGCATCACTGTGCAGGACCGCGATGGGGAGAAGGGAAGACCTGACTTTAGACCTCCTCCGTGCTGGGAGCGCGGCCGGAGCAGCTCCCGAGCTCGGACACCCGCACGGCAGCTCCTGCAGGGGCCGGGGAGGGCCGAGAGCTCCCGCATCGCTCCTGCCCCCTGCGCAAACCTTTAACACGCTCCGTGCACATCCCCTCGTTTCAATACTTCTGGAGCTTGAGCGAAAGCTCTCAGCTTTGCCTAATCGGCAATTCTAGGGAGGAGACATCCTGTAGGAAGTACACAGCGATACTTCAACCCGTGCTGCCTATGGGAGATTTGAAAACATCTCTAAGGGACTAACATGTGTTGCTATAATTTTACACGTAGCCTATGGGTACTACAGCCTTTCGCGGCCATGCTCCCGGCTCTCGCCCTCACACTCCTCCATCGCCAGCTCGGGGAGCTCCCGCGGCGGGATCTGCGGCCCGAGACTTCTCCCTCCCTGCCCGGCGCCCGGAGGTTCCAGTCATCCCTTCCTTCGACATCGCCACCTGCCTCCACCCCGGGCCCTCTTCTTAAGTAACACGTCCCCTCACAAGCTAACCCGATGTGATGGATAACCAGAGGGACGGGAGCCAGGGCAGGCAGCAGGCTAAGTGCGCCTTTTTATTAACTTCTTGTAAAGTAATAGCTCCATTTTAGCTGTCACTCCTGTCAAACAACAGCCGCACAATAGCGTGTGATGGGCTCTTCCCGGAGCCCGAGCCGCAGGCAGCGCACAGCACACTGCGGCCAGGCAGGCACCGGGCACGCCGCACTGCCGGGGCCGTGCGGGCTCCCTGCCACGAGCGAGGGGGCGAGGGGGAGGGACGGAAAACGAGGGGAAGAACCGGGTCCCTTTTACCCCACTGGGACCCCACTCAGATCCCAAACAAAGGCCGGCAGCCGGGATTCAGGCTCGCCCGAGCCACCGTGTCCTGGAGAGGGGCCGCACGGCTCGCCCCCTCCGCCCTGCCCGTTCTGCGGGCGGCCAGCACCGCAAAAACGGGAAAATCCAGGCGGACGGTGGGCAGAAGGGGCCTGGGGCATGAGGCTCGGCGGGGAACCGGGGCGGGGGGACCGAGGTGGGGCCAGCCCCGGCTCCCCGTGGGGACGGGGCGAGTACGGGTCCTGCCCCAGCTCCCCGTCCGCTGCCGCCCCAACCTCGGTGCCCGGCCAAGCAGGAGGAGCCCCGCGCCCCCGGCGGCTGCGGCTGCTTGCGGGGCTCCGCGGGGGGCGGGCACATGCGTACAAGCGGCTCATCCAGGCAAACACCCCTCACATCTTAAATGAGCTTCATTTGCCGGCAGCCGCTCCAGTCGGGCTAGGAGCTGCTGGGCTGCGCTCGCAGCGCCTGGCGGGGAGCCCCCCGGGGCGGGCCCGCCCCGACGGAGACCCCCGCGCCCCGCTCTCGATGGGACTGAGCGCGGCGGCGGCTCCGCGCTCGGGCGGCGCGGGCGGAGCGCTCCCCGCGGGGGCGCCGGGCATGGCCGCGGGCGGGCGGGGGCCGAGCGGGAGCCGCGGGCACAGCGCCCTCGCGGGGGGCCCCGCCGCGGCCATGGAGCGCCGCTGATCGCCGCTGATCGCCGCCGGGAGACAATGGCCCTGCACAAACTCTGCTCCGTGCTCGAAGGTAGGAGCCGCGGGCGGCGCGGCGCCCTCCGCGGGAGCAGCTGCTCGGAGCGGGAGCCGCGGTACCCCCGGAGCCGCCCGCCCCCTCGGCTGCCCCGCGCTGCCCCCGCCGAGCGCCGGCGGAAACTTTGGAGCGAGGGGCTTGGGGGCTGCGCCGGGGCGGCCGCCCCGCTGCTGCTCCTGCCGGGGCTGCTCCGCCCGAACAGCTGCCCGAGCCCCGCACCGCGTCCCTGCGGGGCGCCGCGGGTCCCGGCCCCGTGTTGGTGCGGGGCGGCCCCGGTCCCGGTCCCGCTCTGCCCCAGCGCTGCGGCGGCTCGGGGTTCGGGGCTGGGGCGGGCGCTGCCGGGAGCCTATCGCGGGGCCGGGCCGGGGCCCCGATCGCATCCCGGGCTGCTCTGGCCCTGCTGGGGACACCTCGGTACCTCTGGGGGGGGTCCCAGCCTGCAGGAACGTGGGTCAAAGGGGCAGCGACCCTGCCCCAGTGCCTCGTATATTACCAAGACCCACCAACAGCATCCTGCGTTCCGGTCTGTTCACTGTAAAAATATTCTTTCTGTTTTCGGAACTCTCCTAACGAGCTGCCCAGCAGCGATCAGCTTATCACACTTGTTATCGGGAGCAAGATCTGTTTTCAGGAAGGTTTTCGCAAAATCAGTCGCCACCTGAGTCACAAGCTACTGCCTGACCGGTATTGACCTGTGCTTTTCTTCCTGAGGCTTTTAAATCTTGTTTCTAACTTCTTTCGGTTGAGAGGTAAACAACTGAGGAAGGCTCCTCATCCGAGCATTTCTTTTGTCTGTGCTGTTATTTATACAGCTCGACAATGGGCGAGGGCTTTCTGTTAGAAAATAAAGCTGGATGTGGCAGTTAACCTTGTGCCTCAAGGGATTATTTCTAGCATTCTGTATCTACTTGAGCAGTAGCAGACTTGATAGTGATGCAAGTCTATTTTCTATTAGGATTATTATTATTAAATTATTCTGTTAGGAAATTTTGGCGCGACCGTTTGCATTATTGAAGCCAACAAGGCATTACTGCAGGGTGGAGAACTGTTTTGATTATGCATTGATGTCTTCCCACGGTATGAAAGTTGTAAAGAAGTCTGTTTCAAATCCAGAATGTTTTCATGGCCCAGAAAATCCCATGTTCCTGAACTGAAGGATGTATATCTTTAGGTTTAAATAAATATTTTTCATTTATTAGCATAATAACTGAGAGACAGAAGTTACTTGCTCTCAATAAATGTCTGGCTCTCTGTATAGGTGTTAACCATCCCCTGAGTTTAGACAACATAGGAACATAGGGCTTATATGGGGAAGACAAGGCATTTAGGTGTTTTTTCTACTGCCTCTTTTAAGTAACATATTTAAATACTCTAAACCACTATATGACATATCTACTGCTTAAATACTTTCTAGATATGCAGATTTAATCACATTTCAGAAACTTGTGATTGCTGCAAATTTGACTGTTCAGGTTTTCTCCTGAACAGACCTATATATATTTTTTTTTTATAATCACACTAGTGTCCAGGTAAAAAGTCCCTCTGCAGGAAGTTTTTTGTGTTATTCATAATCTATAAATTGCACAAAGCCATTAGTCAATAAGCCGTTAGTATTCTAAATGCATCCCTTGCTATGACTACAGAAACAACCTATCATTACTTAGCATCATGCACTGCCTTCTATCTCTGCTTCACTAGAAGTCGTCACATATTCTGATTATTACATCTCGTCAGAAAAAAAAATGTATTCCTGTAGACAGACATACAGATTTAATCCCAAAAGGAGACTGTTGGGAGTAGAATTCAAAGTAACCTTCCTTATATTACAAGTTGCATCTTAAATTTTGCGTGTAAGCTCTACCTACAGTGGCAGTAATTTTTAATTTTCTTTCTGCATACAAATAGCTTTGTGTGCAGAACTGGGGGAGTTCTGCTACACCACGTACAAAGTACCATGAGCTCAATACATCATGAAAAGTCACATTTCAGTAATACTTAGAAACAGTTTAGTCATCTGTTCTTAGTATGGAATGCATATCTACATTTGTGTCATTCACAGAGGTTATATTTTGTGACTGTATAACCTCAGGGCAGAAAAGAACCCGTCATACTCACTTCATGGCAACTCAAATTTCTCATATTAAGCTTGTTCAAAACTACTCTTATGTTCTTCCTCAGCTATCAATAATAAGGGCTGATTTAAATGAACATCTCAATGTCAGTCTTCCTATCTCTGTCCGTAGTATTCAGCAAAACTTTTAAAAGTCGTATCCTGAATCCCATCATCTTACATGGATTATTTGCCCTCACCCAGATCTCCCAGGCAGTAGTGCTGAGTGGCAGCGATGGTGGAGCACAGCAGCTCTGAGGTTGCAGTGGCTGCAGGTTTTGCTAAGTGGAGCCCAGCCAATGCCCACCTGCTTTCTCAGTGGTGTCTGTAACCTCCTGGAGGCCAAGGAGCTTTGCTGCATTTGGGTTGTTGAAAGACAAAGCCTTTTCCTCCTGTCTTCAGTTCTCATTGAGATTTTAAACACATTAGAGTTGTTCCCTGAGCCCTGGAAAATGCACCTGCTCTACAATAGTAAACCACTATAACCCTCTACTTTGTAAGAGAGAAAAGTAGCTGCTCTCTTGATAAAGCCACATTCCTGTTACGCTTTCAAAGTGAATATACCCACCTTGGATTTCCTCAAATCTGGTATTCCTCCAAAATGTGTTTCCTAAGAACTTGTTCCCATTCTTCAAATATGCTCCCTCTTTCATTTCCTTATGCTATTATCTGGTTAAAAAACCCTAAAAACCATAAGTTAAATCCTTACTGTACATTAGTTTTGGACTATTTCAGCTAATACAGTTGGATTAATTTAAAAAGCTAAAAAAAAGAAAATATTCTCTCTAAAAAGAGAATTCTGTAGTTTCTGACCCAATAATTCAACAAGCAGCCAGGGCTACAACAAATTATTGCTACTTCTGGAAAGTCAGCATTCACAAACTTCCAATGGGCTACAGAATTATTTCCAACTCTGGTCAGGTTGCAAGGATGTGGACACTATTATTAACTTCTTGCCATTCTGCTCAGCCTCCTCATTTGCATTTTGGCATGATTTTAACAGCTAATTTCTCACAAACAAGTAGTGTTAAGAAGTAATGCTTCCTTCCACACAACAGCTAGAAATTATGGCCACCTCTTTCCAAAATCAAAAGGTGTAATAATGACCCAAAAAGCTAAAACAAGCAGAGAAAAAAAAATAAAAATCTGTTAATAATTTCACAATTTGTTCATTGAAACCAAAGGCAAAGTACTGACTGAAGAGGCTGAAGTGACCCTAATGAGGGCAGTATCAAGTGCAAGTCAGAATTTCATTTTTTACATAATAAACAGTATCTACTTGCAGCCTTTTCTGGTGCACTGGGAAAAAAGTGAAGCACCAAACTGCTGGCACTGCTAAGGAGTTAAGCAGAAGTAACTAAAGTTTAACTGTGGAATAGGATTCAAAAAGGTGCTGTGTTCTAAACAAGGAGAGTACTTGGTGGTGTGTATTATGTGTTGCTCCTAATACACATACAAACTTAATATCCAAAATGCACCACTCAGCAGCATGACTTCAAAAACATTAACTCCCTAGTTTTCCTAGGAGATAGTTGACCATGACTGCTAAAATTGTACAGAACAAGTTGGTTATAATTACATTGATATTAATAGAAAGTTTCAGTGTATAAATCAGGTATATGGCTGTAGCTGGAGTACAGAATAACATGGGATTGAAGCTAAAGGAGCTGCTGAATTATGTATCCCTAGGTAATGAAAAAGTTAAGATCTCCAGTGTCTTCCCTAAGGTTTAATTCACAGGAAGAGATTAGACAGAAAAATTACCCCCAAAGTGAAACTTTATAAGCTATTCATCATTTATGAACCTGTCAGAAAGTCACAGTGTAATTCATTGCAGAAATGAAGAGAGCTGATAATTGCACATACTCTTGTACACAGAGTTTACATACAAAACAAATCCATCACTTGATGTATAACCCATCTGGACTGAAATAAAATTTTAATTATGATGTCTTGGATTCAAGTTGGGGTTCTAGCGCTGCAAGGAAGCTTGCTGCCTTTGTGCCTTGTATACTCCAATTTGTTAGTTTAATTAATGAAGCACTTACAGTCTAGGACAACTTAAACAGCTTGCTACCTTTAAATAGCTTGCTGCCTCTCAATATATGACTGGCAACTGCCACCTCCAATACTGCAAGAGATGGGGCTTGGGAAGTGTAAATTTTTCAACAAAAAACCAGCAGGTAACTTCTAATGAAAAAAATCCGCATTTCTTTTAGCTTATCTTTGTGCTTCACTCCATTTTCTGTTATCATAAAGCTGACCCCACTATGCAGCAGAAAAGGACGGCCAATATGTTAACAAAACTCCAAAACCTCCTTCTTTAGCATACAGTAAAATTGGTGAACACAGAGAAGCCTCTTTTTAAGGGACTGAGAGTGAGGAGGTAGAAAAAAATTAATTTTACTGTGTACATAAATTGTTGCCAGACATGACAGCAGACAGCAGAACTTTTAATATTAATTTCATAATAGACATTCCTGAGAAGATTTCCTCTGAAAAATACACTATATTGATAATGAAGAAGATGAAGAAGTCTGGTACAGTCTGATGAGTTTTTAAGTCCAAAGTATCACTATCCAAGTGCTCTAGGAATGAGTTATCTCTTGGAAAGGTGTGTTCAGAATAGTCATGTACAGCAGGATCAGTTCTGTCAGCTACAGGGAAATCATCTGAACTTGAAGTCAGTGTATATATTTTAATAAGGTTTTTTAAACCCCTCATCAGCAGGGTTTGCACATGCAGCCTTCTCATCAGCCTCTTGCTGCACACATCTTGGAGATGAAGAAAAAAGATCTTCCATATAAAAAGGAAAGCTTCTATTTTAAAAATGAAAGCTATCATTCTTCTGGCAGAAGTTTTGCTGGCAGACAGACCCAGGGATGGA